TCGGTCGCCCGAATCAGCCCTTGGATGGTGCTGTTGTACATGATGGGACTGTTCAGCATAGCCATTCCGGCCGGAAGCATCCCGACGACCGTCAGTCTGACTGCCTTCACTACGGCTACGTCGTCGCCTGCGTTCGATGCCGACCTCTTTGGTATCACGTTCTGAGCGAAACGGATGGCTACGATCAACGTTCAAGCGTCGCGAAGACTCGCAATTGCTGCCACTCCTAATCGTCTTACTCGGATCCGCGCGCGATCGCTTCACCTTACGCTGAGAAACATGGGAACTACCCCTGTGCCTGCACCAACGAGACAAAAATAATCGCATGCCAGGTAAAGAAAAAATCAAAGCAGAGGGGGTACAGGAATAAAAAGAGGCATCGATGTAAGTACCTTTTACCACGATTATCAGTTCGAGAGGTTTTAGGGTGTGAGCAACCATAACCAGAGGAGTCATTTTGGGAGTCAGAGGAGGATATATCACGTTTTCGATGTGAAGACCCGGATGTACTGGAAGAAGGGGTAGATTCTGTTAAGTGCCGTGTTTTGTGACTGCGATACCGTGCATCGTAGCAACATTTGTGGTTGCTGTGAGATCTACGCTTATGAGTTGTCTGGCGCATTAGGAGCGTATTCGAACCGAGTGCGCTAGACATGTCTACGAGACTTTAAAGAAGACTGTTGAAAATCATATTAAAAATGCTTGTGCAAAAATTGTTCATATATTGTATATAAATTTATAATTTAAGTAAACTTATAAGATTAATATTGTATATTATTGCTTAATTTTATTATTTTTTAAAATTAATTTAAGGTTAAAATGTATTTATAAAAAATTTAGCTATTTTATAATGTAGTTTGGGTTTTTTAAATTTTAACCCTAACTCTCACATGGCCAAGGTTAACGTGTGTAACGTAGAAGTCCTCGGTAACCCCTCCGGCTTTTTTGATCCTTTTAAGTTTGTAATTACATTTGAGTGCCATGAGCCCCTTGAGGAGGGTATGTGTGCAATATCTGATTGATCCATAGATCTCGAGTGGAAGCTTATTTACGTTAGCAGTGCCTATAATGAGTCATTGGACCAAGTCCTTGACTCTATCTTAGTCGGCCCAGTCCCGGTTGGTCGACATCAATTTATTTTCGAAGCAGGTGCCCCTGATCCGAAAAAGATACCTTGTGAAGATATTGTCGGCGTTACCGTTGTACTGATTCAAGCTCTTTACCGTGACAAGGAATTCATCCGGGTTGGTTATTACGTTAACAATGAATATAAAACAGAAGAACTTCGCAATGAACCTCCAGCAGAACCAATTTTGTCAGAGGTTAGCCTATTTTCTCGCACATTTAAAATATGTTCATAGTGGCCAAATCTAGTGAAGTCAAGTATTTAATATCGACTTCTGATAATTTTGCTTCTAGCACATGATAACTAAGTGAACATGGTTTAGCGCCAATATCGCCTTTTTCGTCCTTGCCGAGGCAGAGAATGTCCATTTCCCACTAGCTATCGACAAAAATTCTGTCTCATGGGACCTCTTCACCCCACTCACGCTGAATTTAGTTAACCCCAAAAATAATCGGCCGTAAACGTAATTACATCTTCACTGTTTTTAATCGAAATACATGTCTTTAGGCCTTCTAGTTTATTTTTACATTCGGGACTTGACTTCAGAACAAGCTCAGATTCCCAGTTCGCATGTTAAAACGGACATGGGGGTCAGATAGTAGTTTTTTCTACATAAACGCCTGCTTGGGCTTAACAGCTTCATAGATAAGATCGGACAGGCCGAACTCATCTACTGTCCACATACCTCGGGTCCTAAATTAACTTAAGTCCCCGACTTGGCTCCGATGTCTACTCATTCAAGAAGTTAATCCTGTTAAACAACCACCTATCTCGTAAATTCAGACGCTATACGTTTTTTACCTCGATTGCCTTAACCGCTAATTATTTCAACGGTTTCTTTTTATACTGCCTTGAATTAATGCTGTGCCACCTCCCTACATTTCCGTTTTGTCCATAGCTCGAACGCAATATCATAGCCTCTGATCCTCGAGTGACTCGC